TCATTAGAAACATGGAAAGAGTTGGGATTCAGCACAGGGGAAACATTCTTACTGTTAAAACATACATTTTCTGTGTACTATGTAGGCAAAAGTCATATGCGTGACTTTTTAGCAAGAGTTGATCTTTCGATTTCCAGTGTATACAACAGCTTTTGGTAGCTCTGAGATGAAACGGGGCCGCACCTGCTAATGTTTTGAGGCAGGGTCTGTTACAAAGACTGAAAGCTGATGTTTCTTGTTGGTGTGATGGGATATTAGTCCCATGTATATGCAATAAACACGCACCCAAGACAGACTCCTGTTATATCCTATAAATCAGAAGAGACAGTATTCAAGCAAAGGAAAAACAGTGGAAGCGAGGAAAAAGTGTACACATGGTAATACTGTTTTCCCCAGATCTTTTTTCCACAAGAACTGACTCAGCTCTAGCTATCCCTGTGCTTTAAACACAGCCACTGGGGTCCCGGTACAGCAGAGACATGGAGACCTTGCACAAACACATCCAATATAGGTTTTCCATTTATTTCCACTGACTTTCCTGTGGTGTTCCTTAGTCTGGTGAGGCACTAGGATTACATTTTTATGGGCAATATTACAAACAGAGCCAGAAAACTGGCCCAGTACCACCTTTTATTTTAACTAGCTTTGTACTAAACATGGATGAGATGCAGACATGAAGATGTAAAATTATCTAAGAGCATAATGCAGAATGATGCTTCTTGCTACATATTTCTGAAGTGGTGGTTGACTGAGTAGGTATATTCACAGATGAGGGATGTACATAGCACCTACAACGTACATTATGGGTCTTACGTTTTCCCTTCGGGTTCTAAAAAGATGAAAATTAAGCTTAGTTTTATGCCTAACAGCTAATCAGTAAGACCAGTGGGCTGCTGTCACTTTATTACAGGACCATTATTTAAGCGCTATCTTATATGTAAAATGGATTAATTTTATGATTTATTTTTCATGCAATTATGTATTTGTATCAACGGAAAGGAAAATCCCCCAAATAAATATCGTGTTACAGTATGTTCTCAGCTGTATGAGAGAAGTGACCCATATCTGCCTTAACAGGATCTAGAGCAGTTGTGCTTTTGTTTTACCAGGCTAAAAAAGAAATTCTCAAAAATAAAGAGGAACGGTAACATTCATTCTCGTCATGAATACTGCTCGGAAAGAAAAAGAACAAATTTTATCACTGCTTTGACACGAAATCCTTGACCAGTACTGTTGTGGTCCTCCTTTGCTCCTACACTGGCCTACAGCAGAAGACCTATGGAGTCTGGAGGGTGGGAGTAGCCCAAATCCTGCACTGTATTTAGCTACAGCACTTAATAAATTACTATTGATCCTACTGATAAAGCCAGAACCTTGCAGCTAGAATTAAGTGTGTCTTAAACTACGTATCTCTCGACTTTTATAATTAAGAGCGTAGCAAGATCATTGCAGTGATAGAAAACATATTTCTTTACTGGTGAAAGGCTTTGCGTCAGGACCACCATGTCAACTGCTATTTTAAGTTTGAACATAAAACATGAAGAGCACTATTGTCATCTAAACAATAAGTCCTAATGCCACTGTAGGTACTGTAGCAGCATCAATCAAGGCATCATGGTGACCCCGAGCACTAATCCTCCCCAATTCTTTCAATTTCGCTGGCAGCCGTGTCCCAGGAAGCTGTCTTCAGCAAGGCAGAAGCAGGTAAGAGAAAAACATTAAAAATCTATGTCCCATCCTGAGTTGTCGTCAGGGGGTGGTTCATCACTGTCCTCTGGGAAGCTGTCAAAATTGCTTGTGTCTGTTGGAGATGCAACCTGCAGAAAGAAAAGAGTGACAAGAAGGGGATGGTCATCAAAGTGGACCTCTGCAGACATTTCCTCTTGATCTCACAACCACGGTGATTCAAGAGTGTTCATTGCTAATTGCCACAAGCAAGAGAAGTTCTGCATTCCACAACTTTTTGCTGAATCCCAGGAGGACTTCCCACAGCTCCCTTACTCTAATGATCCAGGCCCTCTAGGATCTCTAGTTCAACAGCAACTGTCCTACCCATTGGTACAAGGTCATCAGAAAAGACTTGGAAAAGCTCTGGGCTTCCCCCCACCCTGATTTCCAATTTATGGCTCTAGGATCCTGAATTTGAGAGGCCGTGAGCTGGGCCCTGCCACATTTGAGTTTCCTGACAAGCATTGCTTGGTCTAGTGAGCCTACCAGAGAAACTCATCAACTTATCTTCCTAGGATGAAGGCCAAATATGGTGGTTTTGGTTTTTTCTTTTACTTTACAATGGTGACTGAAACTATCTTACACTGAGACATTCAATGTAATTAAAAAACCAAACCAAAAACAGACCAGCAGCTCTCCAGACCAAAATAATCAGTGTCTTGCTAGAGAGAAAATCAGTACTTTAAGCTGTACCCCAAGTAGCCAGTGCAGGCTGGAGGTGACTGCCCTTGCCATGAGAATTCCGGTCAGGAAACACTGTCATTTTTAGCCATTTCACTAGTGCAACTAGTGGAAAAGCCACAGCCAGAGACCAGCCTGCAGTCCAGGAAATGTATTTGATGCTGGATGCTGCTGTAAGCCTTGGGAAATGAGAGCTCCAGCTTCAGCTCTAAATTTAATTTGCTGCCCAGCTGCATCAGCACTTCCCTGCTGCTGAAAACATCTTGGGGAAAATTAAGACTCTTGAATACCCAAATAATTTTGGAAAAAAACAAAAACTGTAAAAGCTTAGTGGAGTACTACAGATTGATGAGATGCTTCACTGTGTACTGAATACTGTAATTTCGTTTTTTTTGAGTTATCTGTATCTGTTTACTTTGTTGGTGCTCCTCCACCCTTCAGGCCTTCACCCTTGAGGTGCTCTACACTTGTTCTCCTCCATGGTGCCATGGGCTGGACCACATCCCTCTGTTTCTCTCAGCCCACCCCATGTGAGCTCTCCCTCTGGGAGCAGAAGTGTTGGAGATGTATGTACAAGGTACTTGCTACCAAAGTGTAAGAGATGCAGCTGGTGGCAGCCGTTCACATCAGGATGCACACAAGCTGGAACTTCTTGCGAGAGCCTCTCAGCAGTGATGGACAGTGCGTAAATCAGCTTCACTGGGAGAAAGCATCTATGGAGCTCCCCAGGGCTCCTCTGCAGCTGTCTACTCTGAAAGCACCTAGCAGGCAGTTTTTTTGAGCTCTGGTTAGATGAGTCTTTAATGGAAGTAAGTCCTGCTTTGGGAAATGGATTGCATTTTTCGTTCATCTGACAAAACAAAAAGGCTAAGTATATCCAACACCTCAAAGATAGAGGGTTTTCTTTTTCTTAGAAAATATATGACTTAGGGAAAACAAGGTTGGATGAGTTGTTACTCTACTGATTGACATTATGTGATGCTAATGATGCTGTGTGTGATTTCTCACAGTTCTGAGGTTCAGGTCACCTATGTGGCCTGCAGTTCTTTACTGTTGGAGACATGGGAACAAACGTCTCTAAATGCTCTCTCCAGTCAAGAAGGGACACTCTAAATTCACCTCCGGTCCAAGAAGATAAAGTGCAAATGTCAGTATCACTTTTCTGGTTGCTTAACAACGTAAGGGCTTGAGATGAATTATGGTGCAGGGATCTGCAGGTCTTTCTCAAAGGCAGAAGCTGTGATGCCAGACAGCACATCTTTGGAAGACTCAAGAGCTTTCAAGGACAGACCCTGTCACAGATTTCTTCCGTTGTATCGAGGGTCAGCTGCTCCCTGAAGCAATGTCCTAGCAGCAGGATGTAAATTGAGATTTTTCCTAAAATTCCATGGAATAAGAGCTAAAGAGCAGCTTTTGATTGCCTCAATGGTAGTACCACATAACTGCTAATAAGGGTTAAAGAGCTGGGAAAGGCCTTTTTTAATTAACCAAAAAAAAAAAAAATAACCTAGTCTCTATGTTTAGCCCTGTTTGCTCCTTTACAGCTAACAAGTAACTAGGAGAGATGCACTGATTGAAGTTAAAATGGATTTCTTTCCCAGAGCTATGTATTTTGGGTCCCTTTTCAGATATGGCTCTTACTAACAGTTGGGACTTTTGCCAAAGCAACTGAAAAACTCATGGAAAACAAAGCTAAGCAGGACTAACAGCTTTGGTGTTGACAAGATACACTAGTTAATGGAGGAAGGTTTTGGAGAAAATCTCAGGAGTATGTCTAGAGAAGATGTTACACTTAAGAGCTCTAGAAAAGAGGTAGCTGTGTTGAACTGGGATCAGGTCAATGTATGCTTGTCAGCATTGAGTTGTTCTGGAAGAAAGATTCCTCTGAAGAGCAAAGGATGCTCCCATCTATTTTGGACAGCCTTGACAGTAGTGTGCAGGCCAAAAGGGTAACAGCAGATCACTCTCTTGGGAGCAATCACAGACATGTTCCTTGGTAGGACATCAGCAGTGCCATGAATATACAGATTTAAGGATGCCAAGAAATAATGCCAATGAAGTGAACTGGGTGTTCACAGAACACTTTTCTACTTACTGCATTGGACCCAACTGAAAAAGCAAAGAACAAGTGCTTTCCTGCACAACAGACTGGACAGCAGCCTTCCTCTAGGCAATGCCAAAGAAGCAGAGACCACTTCTGATGGTGGGGCAGCATCCCAGCTTGGGCATATCAGGAAGCAATTCATGTCCACAGCAAGGAAATACTGCTGAAGTCACTGCTGCTAGTTGTGCTGTCTGAGAGACATGCAGGGTCCATATACATACTGAGTAAAAGCAGTATTGGAAATGCTCTTACTAAACCAAAAGTTCATGAAAAACAATTAGAAAAACATATTTGGGCATTTCAGGCTACACTGACATCCTGCACAGGTAAACAAGGAATTGTAATTGAATATAAAGGAGCAAATTTGACTTTATTTTGTGATTTTGAAATGTGGTGAACAGTGCTGCTGATAAATTAATAGTCATTAAAAAGAAGCTTACCAGAAGAACTACAGTTTTGATTTATAAAACATTTATGTGTTCTTTGGGCATGCTGCTTTAGTCAGATATTTGCAAAGTCCTGCTTTTCCCCACTGACTGTCGGTAACTTCTACAGCCCATAGGGCAAAAGGTGAGGGGGGTGTGTGCTAAACCGTCTTGCTTTTTCCTAGATGGTAAGAAAACTTTTGGATGGCAGATTTAGCCCTGGAGCTGTGTCTGCCGCTGCTGCAGAAGGTGCCGGACCATGGGTAGACAGAGCAAGGGGCTGCAATTAAACATGATTGCTAATGTCATTCTCTTGGTGATCCTGCGGGAGAGGCATGGAGAGAAAGGGATTAAGTTGAAACAAGGAGGGGAGGCTGCAGAACAGAAGGGGCTAAGGTAATTTCTATCAGCTAATCCTGTTTGGTTTCCCTTTGTGGAAGGCTTTGTGGGTAAAGAGCTCACAAAGACATCAAAGGAAGAGCTTTGCTCCAAAGGAAAATGAGTCGAGCCGTCTCTCCATGTCTGTTCCCAGTTAAACATAAACTAAGCGGTAACAGGGCTTTTCATGTAGGACACAGACACAGGAAAAAAGAAAAGAAAGAAGGAAAGGTTAATGCAAAAGAAAAGGGAGATGGCATACAAATCCCACTTGCCTTACCAAAAGAAGTAAGAATAAAGGAGAAAGAAAGAGAAGGGATGAAAGTGGCAGCTCTTCACTGTGGCAGTTCTTCACTGAAATGAGAAAAGTAAATGAAGATGAAGTAGATGAAGAAATAAGTGGAGCAGTTGTAAAAGAGAAAAATGTGTAGTAGTGCATGATCCTGCCCTGATTTCCTGCTGCTTAGGGCATTTCATCGCAGTCATGCTCTCGCCAAACTGCCTTCTCCTGGAAGAGACTGCCTGGAGACCAAATAAGGCTGGAAATGGCTCGACTTCTTCAAGCATCTTCAGAAGAAATAGAGCACATGCTGTTGCCACTTGACTGCAGTGTACTAGTGCCTGCAGCTTGTAACATTCATGCAGAAGAAACTTACTGGCTGCGAAGGAGAAAATAATTAAGAAAACTTACACTTGGTATTATAGGAGGTGTCAGTGTCCCTTTTCGTAACCCTTCCCAGTTAAAGCCTTCAAACCATCTAGAAGGGAGGGAATAACGAAACAGTTACACATACAGTGAAAATCTCTCTGTAGCACAAAATTAAATTCAAATTGCTTAAACAGTGGGTTTCATCTCCTGCAGTCATCATTTTCAAATTTTCTAATTAGCCTTAATAATTCTTCCTGTCAACTTTATGTATGTTTTTTTTTTGGGACTGAAAATGAAGTGTGTGTAGCAACTGAGTGGTGATAGTACAGATCACCAGTGCTCAGAAAACTGTTCCTCACTGCATATGTCCTGGTAGCTGCTCTTTTCTTTCTATAGAGTCGATCCATCCCATATGAGACCTCTAATGTCCTTTTTTCATGCAAGACTGGGAGCTAAGGGCATGCACAGGGATGTCCTCCTCCTGGTCTGGGTACTTCAGGTTTGCTCAAGCCATGGCAGCTTAGGAGGGTGGATGATCCCTGAGCTGAGCCTTCAACCCATCCACATAAAATGTCCATCCAATCCACTTCTGTTGCTTTGGGTATGGGAGAAGGACCAGCATGGATGGGTGAGAAGGCCTGCTTCTGTGATGGGTTTCTAACTTGTTCTTATCCTGCTCCAGCAGGAACTTGTAAGACATCACTTAACTCTGCCATCAGACCAAAAGTGATGATGAATTAATGCTACAGGTAGAGAAAAAGTGTGTTGGGCTGGGGGGAGGAAGGGAAATTGAAGAAAACCCTGGAAAGTGATTCTGCAAACCAAAAAAATCCAAGCAGGCAGTGGCTCAACTGGATTACTTTCAAGTGCTCTTTTGCATTAGACTAAGGCATAATGGTCAATGTGCAATGCATTTTGCTCAGAGGCAAGGCTAGAATCTATACCAAACACTGGAGGGAAAAAAGTCTGATGGAAATTCAATTAGAGTCTAAAGCATACTAGAAATTATTTTGCAGAAATATGAAGTGTTTGAAATGCATGTTTCTGTGGGTTGGATCTAATGATTGGTGGAGACGACACTTACTTGTGCTTTTGGATATCTTTCACTCCATTTTTCAAATTCCCTAACCTTTCTGATGGATTGTCCCTATAAAACAAATAACAAATTGGTTACTTTTTTAATCCTTCTGAATAACTAATTTATTTGCAAACAAGATCAAGGTAATTGTATTTCATGTGCTTACCTGCATAGCTTTTTAATTAAATTAGCAGCATTTTTGGCAATCTTCTTTGGAAATTCAATCATGTCTATTCCCCTTAGTATGATGTTATAGGTCTTCATGGGGTCTGGGCCTGAGAAAGGGGGACTTCAGAGGCAGAAGAAAATAGAGAAGATTAAAAGCTTGTCTTTAAAATAGTATTGAGGATTAAAAAAAAAAAATAAAGACTCCAAAGCAAAACAGTACCCTACTGAAATGAGAAAAGGTAGATGACAACAAGCAATGCTTTGCTTTCTATAATCTTAACAATTTCTCAGCCAAGGAGCTCTGATACTGTCTGGATTTCAGTAACACTGGCTGCAGGGAAGTATCAAAGAGGAAAGCTTTCCAGAGCAGTACATGCTAAACCTCTTCTTTCCATAATAGCCCATGTACCAATAGTGTGAGGAACAAGGGTCTGAGCAATGCTTGCTGGCTTACGATGACATGACACGCTTTCAGTGGGGATTAATTAGGTTTCCATCGGTTTAACAGAAAAGTGGCTTGGGTCCATCCCCAAAGGATAAGCAGGTTGAGGTGATGCATCCTTTTCCAGCTCCTGCATCCTGGGAGTGAGTGATGAGGGATGAGATGAGAAAGTGCCAGGAAACCTCTACTGTCAAAATCAGCAGTAATATATACATCCAAAACTACGTAAGTGAAGGGATGGATATAGGGACTCAAGTCCTCATGGTCTACCTCCTCCTTTCCAGGCATGCAGCAGCCCATCACTGCACCTCCCCATTTAAACTGCAAATCCTTTTCCTTTCACCACCATATTCAGCTTCCTTAGGGACAAAAATAACTTTTTGGTGTAATTTTACATTTCATAAAAAGCCTGCTTATGTCTTGCCCTTTGAGAAGTCTGCATGGAAGCTGTGATTTAAAGTGGAAAAACTAATTATTAGGTTCAGTAGCACAGTGCTGTGCCACTACAAGCTCACACAAGCTCTGAACCTTCCTCTAGCCTAATCAGGGTGACAACAGCAGAAATATTTGGATCTATTTTCACCAGTGGTGCCGGCCCCGATGCCCATACCTGCCAGTCAGGAGTTCATACATTAAGATTCCCAGTGACCAGTAGTCTGCCGAGATGTCATGACCTTTGTTCAGGATGATCTCAGGGGCTACATACTCCGGGGTTCCACAAAAAGTCCATGTTTTCTTTCCAAATCCTATTTTCTTTGCAAAGCCAAAGTCGACCTGCAGAAAGGAGCAGAGTACCCATCAGGGCAGAGCACGAGAGGGAATGTCAACCATGTGCTCTGCTCTTGAAGTGAAGCAAAGCAGAAAAGAGGTTTCCTCGTGGGAATATTCTCCTAACTAAAGCATTGTAGGTCATTCCAGGACCCGGCAACCGCAATGACCTCTTCGCCAATTTATCCTTTGTGATATAAAAGGAAGAGTCTCATGAAGGAAGAAGAATAAATGCTGGCACCAAGAGTTTCTTGGGAGGTGGAACTTTGTATCATTCTTTTTTGCTGTTGTGTTTTTGTTGTTGGTTTGTTTGTTTCAACTCCCAGCTTTAGCATGAGCAAGGAACTATTTAGGCTAAATACTGACCATTTTTGCAGCTACTGAAAAGCTCAGATTTCTCTCACAGGCTAAAGAATGATACAGTACAAGTGTCCTCCCAATTTGCTTGAGGCTGTTTGAATGTGCTGGTGGGATCACAAAACACAGCATGTCCCTATAGCAGTGCCCTTATGGCATCAGCAAGTATGGAAAATCAAATTATATTGGGACCTCAAGCTGTCCTTTGGGGCGCAGGCAGAGCTCATATTAATAGGCTTACTGTATTTCTAGTTCTACCCCTCTGCCCTTCCTTGCCTCGGTGCCGTGATGGCCCAGAGCTGTGGTCTGTAGCAAACTCTGCTGTCCCTTCATGGCTGTGAGATTCTCCTACACCTGCACTGGTCAGGAGCAAAATGTCCTACATGGTTACAGTCCCACAAAGGATCTGGGACACTTCTTGTGCTATAATGGTCATATCTGGGGGGAGATCAAAATGTCTGAGGAGCTGGGGGGCAGTGATGGGACCAGCAGACACCCAGGTCCAGATCCTCCTGAGGCAGAGAGGACAGTCCTGCACTTAATGGCCCTCTATTAACCAAAAAATTGCTGGAGCTCCCCAGCCTTAGCAAAATGCTATAGAGGATAATTTCTGACGTAATTCACTAGGCTTAGTGTCACGGTGAAACATGGTGGCTGCCACCAGCCTATAAAGGTCCATGATGACGATGGTCTGACTTACTGCTCCTAGCTGCTGATGCCACTCCCAAGTTTCCCTTCCCAAAGGCAGTGAAGAGCCCTCAAGCCAAGAAGCAGAGACCTTGGCCCCCTGTGACTCTTAGGTAGGGCATCAGACCCTCCTGGATGCAGCTCTTTTTAGGGGTGTGTTGCTTCTGACGGCTTACCAAGTGCTCACATCCTCCAGCACCTCCCACCAAGGGAAGTCTTTCTTTTCTTTTCCCCTTCTCCATGGAATCACCTGGCCATTTGGGATACACCTTACATTCAGGGCACCTCTGCACTGATTTTCAAGGCAAAAAAGTAATCTGAGTGAATAGTGCAGTACAGTGAAACTCATCAGGAACTCCCTAGTTTACAGGGTAGAGGTCTTGCACGTGCTGCCATCCTGGTTTGAGGAGATGGGTCTTGCAGGGGGGGAGCACCAAGAAAGACCATGACCTTCTGGGAAGACCAGTTTCATGCAGAGTCTTATGCAGTTGTCCCAGAGGAGCTTGCACAGGTTATCAATGCTAAAACACAAGTGGCCCTCCTAAAGCAAGAAGCTGCATTGGCCAGTTCAGCAACACCATCCAGAGCAATTAATAATAATAATTTCTTGCAATGATAGAGTCATGAATAATATTTCCATTTTCCATTAAGAATGAGTTTATAATTGCTTACAGAAAGGATCTGACATAGAAACAGTAGTGTACAAAATCTGTTTCACCAGTCACCTCTAAAGCCCACAGATGTAAGTCTTCCTGCTCTCCCACCAATACACTTCTTTTCAAGTTATCTATTAGTCTTTCAGTAGCATCAAAACAGTTAGGTTGATGTCTCCTGATGCTCATTTTGAAAGTTTTCCACTTCAGTAACACAGATCTGAATTTTAAGCCAGAATTAGTGTTTCCCAGCTCAACTGTACCCTGAGCCTCAGCCTGCTGGAGGTTGGGAAAATATCCTCGTGGTGGGTGACAACACCCTTGCCCTGATCTCATCTCAGCATCTACTGATGGCAACCATCAGAGACAGGACTCTGAGCTGGGAAGACTTTGCTTCTGACTCTCTGTGGCTAATCCTGTATTCTCCTCTATCCCTAACATCAGTTAGCAGCAGTGACTTTCTTTGACAAACCAGATGTTGTAGGCACTCACCAGTTTGGCATAACCTCGATGATCCAGAATGAGGTTTTCTGGCTTGAGGTCCCTATAAATGATCCCTTTGGAATGCAAATAGGCAAAAGCTTCCACCACACATGCTGTGTAAAACCTGGTTGTCGAATCCTCAAATGAGCCTCTACATAAAATGAGAGAGGGAAAGGGGATAAAGTGATTAGATCTCTTCCCTTATTTGACTTCACTCTACTGTTAAAATATCTATGCAGTTCAGTAGAATCACTCTAATACCTGGAAAGTACCTGTTGCTAAACTCACCTTTGGCCAAGCCATTATCCATCATATTTGAGAAGTTGTGGCAGTTGGGTGAAATTCCTACTGACTGGAAAAGGGGAAACATAACCCCCATTTTAAAGAGGAAAAAAAAGGAAGACTCAGGGAACTACCAGGCCAGTCAGTCTCATCTTGGTGCCAAGCAAGATCACAGAGCAGATCCTTCTGGAAACTGTGTTAAGGCACATGGACAATAAGAGGGTGACTGGTGACAGCCAACATGACTTCACTAATGGCAAATCATGTCTGATAAATTTGTGGCCTTCTATGACGGGATAAGGGAAGAGTGACTTATGTCATCTACCTGGACTTTTGCAAGGCATTTAACACTATCCTGCACAACATCCTTGTCTCTAAATTCGAGACGAATTTAAAGGGTGGATCACACCAGAAGTGTTCAAGGCCAGGTTGGATGGGTCTTTGAGCAACCTGGTCTAGTGGAAGGCAGGGCGTTGGAATTATATGATCTTTAAGGTCCCTTCCAACCAAAATTATTCTCTGATTCTATGATTTCCATCTCTGAAGTTAGCATCTTTGCCCTCAATCCACCTTCATAGCAAACATTCATATTCAAAATATTTTAGGTTTCATTTTATAGTTCAATCTCATGGAATTAAAATGTACAAATGATTATCCTATAAGCAAAAGGTGATTTTTTTATCATAATATTTGACTTTTGGGTGTAAAGCTATTTTAAGCTGTAGAGATCAAGAACTCCCGTACTAATATTCTTAACCAAGACAAAAGGCAGAAAAATTGCAGTTGCTAGGACTTGAAGTGTTAAATGCAAATTCAGCATAAACTGCACCATATCCTCCTGCCCTCCAGGAACTGGTGGTGGGAGCTGGCTGAGCTCAGAAGCACATCTAAGCTAGGTGGCAGCAGAACCACAATTTAAAGCTGAGAGAATTAACAATGAAATTATCAGGATCTGACTAAGACAATGAAAAATACAACCTGGCACTGCTAACTTTGCTATGCTTCTTGTTTTAATGGTCCAGAGAAGGCCTGCTGTTAGGAAAAGCGAGAATTGAAAAAAATTCATTCTAGCTAATTAAAAAATAATTTAATCTTTGATTTCTGGTCAGTCCTTTGGATGCATTTCTTTCACTTTCCAAATTTAATTATGTTCCAATTTTGAGCCTATTACATAGTTACAGGCAATTCACCTCACCTTTTCCTGCCCCATGGATATATTATGTGCACGTCCTGCATACACCTGTGCAACCCACCTGCCACCTACCCACACAGAACCAAAGCCAATTGCTGCAAGGTCAAAACCTCCTAAGGCAGGAAATACCAGGACCACATTTGGTTGTGCATTACAGTGTCGTATGTAATTACACACTTTCCTATTTTTTTCCATGTCACTTCTGCATCCTGATGGTGTAGTGCTCCTTGAGAGTGAGGACTTGATGCATGATTCTGTTTCCCACTTTGATGAGCGGCCCTCGTGTGCTATGCAATATCTGGACTATAAGCCTAGGCAGAACTATTGATTTCTTCCTGCTTATTGCTGTCATAGCTGACTCTGTCATAAATATTAAGAAGTATTAATAGATACTATTTATGACAGTGCCTCCATGAAAGAGGTGGATGTTGTTATTCACAGTTACTGAGGGTGGACAGCAGAACAAACATTGAGATGAAAAAAGCAGGTCTTTCTCTGGGATGGGAAATTGTGATTTTTTAGATGATTTGGAATAAGTCTGTATTTTTTTACCCTGAAAAGGCTCTTTTCTATGGATTTCATTTGCAACTGTGAACTCTCACTAATGCAAGTGCTGCCTTAGGGCCTTGCTTTATAAAATCCAGCGTCTAAAATGGCCTTTTAGGCAGCAATGCCTAAAGGTGTTGCACTAGAAGGACTCTACCTC